TAGTCTCTAAGCGCTGCAATAAAACTGGCATGTTGGCCAACACTAAAATTGCAGAGTCGGTATGAGATCTATATTTAGCACGGGAATCTGGTCACCACTTGACAGCACGTTAAGGGGAGAAGAAGGATGACATTTATCGCTGAGAACTTTCGTCCAGCTTTGGAACTAGAATACAGCTATACAGGACGAAAAGGCCAGTCGAAAAAGCAAATGATCCCCCGATAATTCCAACACTGACATAAGCACCAACCGACCAGTACCCCCCTTTCACAGCGTACACGTTTAGAAATGTGGATATGAGCCCCGTGAAGGATTGAATCACGGCCGGTCTGAGAAAGTGGTCAGAATCTTTCACTCCCAGGATAGCATCAACGTACATGACCAAACAGCGACAAACCCAAACGTAGTTGTGGCGCCAGATATACCACAAGGCGGTCATTCCGCAACTAGCAATAAAACAACCGAAAGCAGCTATGATAAACAGGGGAAAATTTTGGATGGCAGCCTTTACCGACCGACCGAGGTACCCTGTCTCGTCCAGAGCTTTCATGTCACGAACTGAGGCGAACGTGGATGGTGACACTAGAAACCCTGCGAGTAGCAACCAAGAGAAGAAGCCCGCGAGCACAAAGTAGTAGGTTGGGATGTGCTTCTCCGTTTCTAACACCATTTGCTCGTACCGCGATAAAGAAGCGCCATAGTGTTCTTCCAACCTGCTACGACACTGCTTTCTCCGGGCCGCAGAAGGACAGAAAGGAAATCGCGCCATCTTGATGTGTTCGGTAAGCCAAGATAAAGCAGCGGCAATTCACGGTGGCTTGGAAGGTCCATGACTCCCATTGTATTGAAGTAGGGCGTGTGTATTTAAATATGATAGCTATGATATACCTCTATTTAGAGCTGTCTTCCCAGATGCACAGAATCGTACTTAATTTGAGCGTGAAGCGTCTGACCAGACAACGCGGTGTATCAATCTTTCTATCAACGTCAGGCTGTTTCACCTCAACCAAATTTGTCTTCCAAGCGATATATAGCAAATAACATTAGCTGAACATGCATCGTAAAATCAAAAACTCAATAACGACTGGATCCTAAAGATACTTCAGATGTATTCTGAAGACCATGCGACAATCATTAATGCTAGGATGAACGCCAACTACTTGACATCTCAATACTCTTGAACAAGATTTGGTCAACTTCTTATCCTTATCCTGCAGCAACCTTAAAGAACAACGTATTTCGAAACAAAGAATTTCTGTAGTACGCGACAAAGACCACCAAAGAGGGAACATGGCGTAAGAACCATGGAGCATACAACGGCCTGCTACACAGTTACAGCACCAGAGCGCCATTCAACAACATCTGATACAAAATCAAGCCAGAGCGGGATTCCACCGGCCTGGTTCAGCTACTGCATTATGGTATCTCATGCTTCATAGTTATACGTCTCTGCTTTGTCAGCCTCCAGAACTTTGTCCGATTCCTTATCAAAAGAGCTCCTCAACTCCATCATTCGAAGCTTCCACCTCTGAATAATCAAAACGACGGTTATGACATATAGAGTAGTAGTCACGGTAAAAGAAGAAACCCATTGAAAGGGTACGAGCTGGTTTCTCAGTTGCGCCACTCCAAGTGCTCCCGACAAAAGGCTGAGGGAATATGTGATAATACAGTCCTACCCATGGTTAGTCCATCCGACTTGCTACACAGACTGTCGTAACCAAACCTGATGCGCAAATGCAAAGATAACCCCACAAGCGAATATCCCCCAGGTTGAGATTTGGCTGGCTACACGACAAGCAGTGGATATTGGGTCTGGAACCATCATTGAGCCATTCCAATACATCGCAACGATGGTCCATGCCAAAGGACCGGACATGGTAGCTGTGCGGATCAGCAGCCGGCATACTGGGTGACGGAAATACAGTATACGCAGATTGACAAGATTTAGTAAGAGGACAAGCTCAGCCGCAACGAAGAAAGAATTGACGAGTAACAGAATAAATGCCAAATGAAAGACGTTGTTAAGGATGAATTGGAAATGTATCACTCCAACTCCCACAGGCGAGGTTTTGTAAAGGTCGTAGGCGAGGTGAGCTGACTGGATAACGAAAAGGCCGACCCTGTTTGGAATGTTAGCTAAATGGCCCCGAAAAAGTAAAATGTGTAGGCAAACCAAAACATATCTCCAAGTATGTGGTCCAAAGTGAACAAAGACTGGTGGACATAATTCTGTTCCCATATTCTGTCGTGGAAATACACGGAGATAAATGCGGACGAGATCCAGGTGACAAGTGTGACAACTTGCGTGAGGAGCCCTACATTGTGGGCATTCGTCCACAGGTTGGTTCCCTGTGCATTTGAGATGCTGAGCACCATGCATTTCAAGTGACAAAGGGGAACGCCTACGCTTTTCACCCTCCATGGTATGATAGATAGGAACGGCGTGAGACCCGAAAGGCTTGGATCTGGGTGCAAGATCGAATAAAAGGTTGACTAGTGTAGTAGAATAGACAAGTAGGAGCTTTTTTGTGCGGATTTACTGGGTGAATTCATATCTATGAAGCTTTCAGGCCGGAAAGCTTCCATTCTGTTGGCAGAGACGGCAAAGCAGGGCGACACGAGCGGACCAACTGGGCAACCGACCTAGCCGCGCGCAGATGGTGAACAACACCCTTCTCTCATTGCCTCTTCCAATTGAATGCCATGATCTTTCAAAACCCATACGACTTGAAACCGTCCCTCCCTTTGAGGTTGGTTCAGGGGGCTCCAGGCATCTCTTAACTTTTGCAGCTTAGGTCACTGATCATCGACGACTATTAAGATGCCGATTCTTTGTTCACGTATGGGATGCTACTAATTATGGAATCAACACCACACATATCAGAGGTAACTACCGTGGTGCACAGGGAGCACTACTGCGGCCGATTTCCAAATCGACTTTCGCCGAGGTTTATCTCCGATAATCCCTGCAGCAACAATCCTTCCATTTGCACTCCAGCCTGAATCATGTTTGTGCTCCTCCTTGGGGGATCCCATGAGGTACGTGGGGTGGTTGGTGTTGGTGGCTTTAGAGTCTTCGGAGGGTCACACCCCTCCCGATCATTCTCATCCTAGTCAACAAGATGGTTCAAGCATAACAGCAGGAAATCATTGTCACGTGTCAGCCGCCTCACCTCAGACGCAATCTCATCACATGCTACTTGTAAGTAGCTCAGGTCGTATTCCAGAATGCTATGATCAACAATGTAGATCTAAACGTATCGAACTCCCTATCGACTCTACCATAACAGGGAGAAATTATGACTTTGGGCGCCTGAGCGCTTCAATTGCTGTTGATGTGCTGTGCCCCTGATTATTTTTTTTTTACGCTTTCCTTCTTGTCAAGGAACTGTAGCAGGTCCTTCTTTTCCCGCGGTTGCGCAAACGGGCTCGTTAATTCCAGAAAGTCTATCGTACGGCAAGGGGGAAAAGACGCGGGTTTCCGCTTCATCCGCGTCGGCTGTATTGTGGATGATCCTGGGGCCATGCGACGGGTGAACAGAACCCGTGTGAGATATGAGTGTGCCCCTTTCAAAGGCGGCACTCGAAGCATCATCCTTGAAGACTGTGTACATATCTTTCTCAACAGTAACGGCAATGAGAGAATTTGTATTCTTGGGCACCCGGACGGCATTCCAGATTTTTGGGAAGCATGTGTCGTGGAAACACATTTGCCAATGCGAGCTTTCCATGTTCGGGGCACACAGCACAGTCTCTATTTTGTGATCATGAAAGCTCTACTATTCATTTATCGTCCCGGGCGTTAAAACATCCCGTTAAACGATATTCAAGATGCTCAAAGCATCGGACGTGGACAAAGATGCCTTCCAGGGGGATCGTCATAAGGCGTGTTCACCTGGTAAGAGATCGTCATGTTGGACGGATGACAGTCAGTGAGTTGGCCGAAGCAAGCAGCAGGAGGGAACAAGATATCTTCTTCAGTCTTCGACTTCGTTCCTTGGCCTGTTATGTTACCATAGCCACAGGTCATCTAACGAACTGAGCTCTCAGAATTCATCTGTTTGCAGATTTCAGTTTCCTTCACAACTCAACTGGAACCAAGGCGCGATCTCGTAGAGAGGACCGAAGTCCGCAAATCGGGAACTTGGACTGATGGTGAGTGCGCGTCCTACTTAAAATATAAATCTCCATAGTTCTGTTGGTTCAATACCCCCTTCGCTCTTTGCCGGGCACACACACACCAGTCACTCCAGACGAAGACCGCCATACGTAACTGACTATTGAGCCTGGAAGACTCCCACTAATACCGAAAGAAGCAGAAGAGAGTATTCTGAGTTTTACAAGAGCAGAGTTGACATGGGCCCATGTATTACCCTGCACAGGCACAAATTGTGCAATCCACGCAAAAGTAGCCTACTTAGAATTGGTCATCGCCGACTCAACTCCACTCCGACCTGAAGCTCCCCAACCTTAGTGTGTGTGTGGCATTATGGTTGCCTGTTGTGCTCGCCCTGTTTGCATCTTCCTGTTTGCGTCCAATGAGTGCACACTGGTAGAGTTTTGATTGACAAATGCAGCGGGTAACTCCAAGCTGATTCGCTGAACCAGATTGTCGGGACGGCCCGTGCAGTCACACGAGTTGTCTCTTTCCTCCACACTACCAGGGTGGGGTGGCGAGGCAGACTGATAGGGCTGGCTGTACAGAACTGAGCATGATCGTCCAAATGGCAATGCACTATGATGGGAGATACACCAAGGCAGATTTTACGCTGTAGGTGGGGCGCGCTACCAAATCGGCGGCTGTCTTCCAATTGGCCAACGGGCCATCATGGGAACTGTCACTTGTAGTTTGGCCAGGGACTGGAAAAAAAAAACAGGGATATCCCATGTAACACTCCTTCGTCTGTGACCGAAAATTTTTGTTATGCCACTGTGCAGACCTTGCCTAAGGTTCACTCGTTGGACAGGGTTAGAATGCTGTGGTCGTTTGGCGGTACCACTATGCTAATCTTTGCCGAATCGGAAAGACCACGGCAGTTTTCAGGTGCTTGCAGCGAACGTCAAGGAAAGCCAATCTCCTGCAGGTTGTGAGGTCAAGCCAGGATGAGTTTGCCGCCGGGCGTGAAAATCGTGCACAGCGTCTATCTCTTTCCATGTCAAACCGATCCCTGCAACACATCCTTAAAGCCGAACAGTGGAGTTGCGTTCTCGTCACGCAGGTCTGGAGTACAGGGAATTGCTGCAAAATACCCATAGAGCTGTAGATGTGGCAAGTTCCTCTGCCACGGCGTACCCCGTTCAACTTGTCCAAATAATAGCTGACAGATTGGCCCTTTGGCGCCGGAAGTACTCAACACGAAGCACTCCTACCCTAAGCACAGCATTTCGGTTTTTTAGACACCGAGAGGGAGGGGAACGCCAGTAAATCAAATGCGAGCAGAAAATGTGGCAGACAGTCGATCTGGCTGACGAATCGGAATGCTCTGGAGCCGACCAAGGGTGACGGCTGCCAGACATGCTAGGTGTGGAACTACTGGCACATAGCCGTGCGAATCGAGGCACGAATCGACTCAGGACTGGTCACTGGTGGGACTAGTCGGATTGCCGTCATTGCAGGGCAGTTGAAATGGGCAAGTGGGCAACGCCCAGCGCCACAAAAACGTTGAATAGGGCGGATTGCTGGCATGCAGTGTGGGGGCGCCCGATGGCAGACTCCGCATGACCCCACCAAGGCACAAGTTTTGTTATGTCACAAAGATTGGACACTTTTAGGGACTAGCTCATTGCTGTTAACCCACTTCCCATCAGATTATAGATCCCCTTGTCTTTACGACATGAGTCTTGGATAGAATCCCGGTCCATCAGGTACCATGTACCTGATGGACAAGCTCTGAGATTACGGTTTACCCCAGGCAGCAGAGTGACTACACCGGTAAGGTCACATTTTTGGCTTCGCATTGTACTTACGCGAGCGCGAGAATCGCAAGGATGTACTAAATAGGCTGTGACCACGAGAAAAAAGTGCTGGGGCTGAATGGCAACGACTTAGGTCCAACAATCACCTCAAAGCACTGTCATAAACGTTCCCAGTCAAGAGGACCCGCAAGATGGATGGAGCTGGAGAAAAATGTGATCTGTTGGTATGGATTGGTTTGGCTTGACGTAATGGCAATCTAGATCATTCAGTCCCGGTGAGATCGCGTTGATACAGTCCCCAGACGCCTCACTTTACGACCAAGAGTATAGAAGAAAGGTCAGGCATGAAGTTTTGCTTGTAGCATAAACCCTCAGCTCTCGTGTTTTAGGTCAGTTCAACTCGCTCGTCAAGAGTATGTTCCCGTCGAACTGCAAGGGAAATGGCGAAAATAGACAATCCGCCGGGAGACGGAGGCTATTGTCGTATACACTGCTGAGTTCCGTATGCTAGATTTAAGCCTACCGCCCCACGTTGCATGTCAATCTTTTAGCGCTGGGAGAAACGGTTCAACTTCCGAAGAGGCAATGCGCCCTGTGCAAAGAGCGGCATAGAGTGGGGTCCGTTATTCATTCATCGCGCCACTTCTGGCGGTCCCCTGTACTTTCTCTGGGCCTTCACACGCCTTTTTCCAGATGCTAGGCACCCTTGCCTCTGATCCACTACGTCTGCGCTAAGATTGTGGATTTGCCGTTGTAGAGGAGTTCATATCCAGAAGCTCTGCGAATAAAGGGCGGTGATTAATTTACTTGTACCAGTAGTTATTTGTCGGCAATTAATTCTTCATGTATATAGAGCTTTGGCAGCAAAGCAGACGGAGCGCAGAGCGCAGGAATCATTGAAGAATATAAAAGGGACTCAACGAAACGTTCAGAAAGAATATGGTCAAAACTAGTGGGATGAGAATGGAGGGGAAAGTAGCCAACAACGAATTCTACCCTGATAATGTGTAACCAATTCACACCCATGAGAGGCAAGCTCAATGATACGTGGAGCCTGGCGTCCTGGAGGCCGATTGAAAGCGCGAAGTTGGCCTCGCCGCACGAAGAAAGCCCGAGTTCTCCAGCCGAAGGATTGTGACGAGCAGCAGTAAATGAAGAACGGTGTTACCTACAAGGGGGTTGTGAGTTCATCATATCTTTATTCATCCAGGAAAAGACCAACTTATCTCTATACACCACCAGTCGATCTCAGTTCCCTTAGGAATCCAATCGCAGCATCTTTTTTCCATTTTCTCCTCTTACGACAACTACATATATAGACATATAGACCAATTCTTGAAATATTTTATATGTGTGTTTCTTTGATCAAATCGTTTAGACTTGCGGTTTTTGGAGATGGGGGAGCTTTAGCCCACGATGCTACAAGGAGTATCGAATTGGTGAGACCTGCGGACTGAAGCTTGTACATGGGGTTGAGAACAGAAAGGTTCCATGCAAGCTCGGCAACAATATTGCTATTAAGTCCCGTACTCTCGAAAAAAAGGCTGCAGACGTCTACAGATGGCGAAAACAACGGCGTTATCCCACCATGGTTGAGAAGACCGAGATGGAGATTCGTACCCTGGAGGAACACATCCTTAGACTTGTTCAGCAGCACAAGCTCATAGAGAGGAAGGGGAATGGCGTAGTTTTCTCTTCCTTATTTAGCTTTTGGATACTCGTAGTAGCCGCCTAGCTACTTGTCAATATACTCAGCTTCGACCCTTACAGGGGTAGTGTTTGGCTAGGTGCATTGGAGCTAGAACTCGCATTCCAAACATTACACGGATTATAGTTCAATCAACAGCTGTCTTCATTGAGATACTCTCTAACATGATCCCCCATATTGTTTCCTAGAACCTGAGTATACGGAATCCCTGATGAGACGGCCTGCTCTACCTTCATTGAGAGCTCATGGCAGATTGTCCGTAATCTCTCTGGAACCTCCTCTTGAGCCTTCAAAGCCATCAAGGCGAAAGCTGCGTTGCTTGCCTTGCTCGGGTTTCTTCTACTAACTTGTAAGCTCGGAACCAAATCATGGTTATGAGGGTTAGTTACGCAAATGAGTCCGCTGTGGCGGAGAAAACGATTAAGAGCAAAGCGGAGCCGGCAAGTTGATTCAGGCGACCACCTATCCGCTTCCAGTGGCGCAATTGTTCTAGTGGACAAGCCACAGTTTGAGCCATGCGATATATTTCGTAGGCGTGGGAAGCGTTCCCTACCGACGACCTTGATTCCACGAAACCTAGGTGTTTTTCGACCTGCATTCTGCCTTTCAATGATTCCACGAAGTTGAAGAATTGCACGTAACCAAATCTCGAGGGCAGCTCTGTTCCACCGGCTATAACACTATCAATGGTCTGAGCAGCCGAAACTACATTGAAGTCTGTGATAGGGACATTGCTGGGAAGTGTAGCCACATGGAGTAGTGATGCCCATGCAACTGTCGTCCTTTCCCATGTCTGTAGAAAGAACCGTATGGCATCTTTTCTCACGAATATTCGACTAATATGCATTGTTTCGCCCAGGGCCGTCTTCGAATAGGGGTTCTCCCCATTCTCCCCACTACGAAGGGTTACTGCACGTCTGAGATCTGCCCATAAGAAGTCAGCCAGAAGAATAACTCTCTAATGTACGTAGATGAGTTAGATTGATCTTGCCACTAGAATGGTGATTTTCAGAAACGCAGTCATTTTGATCCTTGCTGTTGGACATCGTAATGTCTCCTTCATAATCATACTGCACAGGATGGGTACCAGGTGTAGGTTTGACAAGATTTGGTGGGCCAGTGTAAGTTCTGGCATCGTTGCTGCTCCCAGAGAGGGTTAACTTGGCCATTTGTGGAATTAGTTCTTCTATTTCGTGACACATCGCAGCATTGACCGAATTACGTGACGCGTGCCATGATGGGTTATCCGGCCTTTTATACTATATGACAAACCTCATGAGTGTCTTCTAAATACAAAACAAGACTCAAATTTTAGTGTGTAATCCAGTTCACATTACGTAATATTTACACCCTACACAGGCACAGGCGCTGTTCACCTGCACCTATCGAGAGCACACAGCAATGCCCTTTTAAACCGAACACAGCGCGTACTTCTTCACACAGCTTACACAGAGCACAACGCTGTGTAAGTGTACCCCAGGCGAGGCACGCAAAGGACACAGCGCTGCCTGCATATACACCTAACGCAGAAGACGGTGCTGCTGCCTACTTATGCCTCTATATAGAGCACACAGAGCACACAGAGGACAACCCGGTGCTTAATTAGAACATACACGCACACGGCGTACACAGCGCACACGGCGTACATCCCACTGCTTAATTAGAACCTACACAACGTACACAGCGTACACAGCGCATACAGAGGACACTCCGCTGCTTAATTAGAACCTACACAACGTACACAGCGTACACAGCGCATACAGAGGACACTCCGCTGCTTAATTAGAACCTACACAGCGTACACAGAGCACACAGCGCACACAAAGGACAACCCGTTGCTTAATTAGAACCTACACAACGTACACAGCGTACACAGAGCTCACGGAGGACACTCCGCTGCTTAATTAGAACCTACGCGCACACAGCGTACACGGAGGACAACCCGCTGCTTAATTAGAACCTACACAACGAACACAGCGCACACAGCGCAACAGAGGACACTCCACTGCTTAATTAGAACCTACACAACGAACACAGCGCACACAGCGCAACAGAGGACACCCCACTGCTTAATTAGAACCTACACAACGTACACAGCGTACACAGAGCTCACGGAGGACACTCCGCTGCTTAATTAGAACCTACACAACGTACACAGCGTACACAGAGCTCACGGAGGACACTCCGCTGCTTAATTAGAACCTACACAACGTACACAGCGTACACAGAGCTCACGGAGGACACTCCGCTGCTTAATTAGAACCTACACAACGTACACAGCGTACACAGAGCTCACGGAGGACACTCCGCTGCTTAATTAGAACCTACACAACGTACACAGCGTACACAGAGCTCACGGAGGACACTCCGCTGCTTAATTAGAACCTACGCGCACACAGCGTACACGGAGGACAACCCGCTGCTTAATTAGAACCTACACGTACACAGAGCACACAGCGCACACAGAGCACACAGAGCACACAGAGCACACCGCGCACACAGCGCAACAGAGGACACCCCACTGCTTAATTAGAACCTACACAGCGTACACAGCGTACACAGAGTTTACAGCACTGCTCACTTACACCCCCACGGCATTCGTGCCCTCTGTGTTGCAGTGTAAAACGGCGTGCCTCACCAGACGAAGGTAAGGCGTCTTATGCCTGTGTCTTGTAACTCTTTGTTCTTACACTAAGAGTACTGTCGTAAAAGGAGCGTCGTAAAGAGAGTGTCTTAAAAGGGTGCCCTATACGATGGTAAAGGGCACTCTACAGCATAACAGCGTCGCAAAAGAGCGTCTCGTAAAAGGATGTCGTAAAGAAAGGTATTCGATGACCGTCTCTCGTCACTCGATTGCTGTTCAAGTCGAACATATGGATTGGTGGCGTTGTCCTAATTGCACTCAAACGATTGGAAGCAATCAAGAAAAAGGGCTATTGTCCGAACCGCAAGTTGCTAGTAGATATAGGAATGGCTATGACTCCAATGGAAGCTGATTGGATGAGCAGAAACATGGCCACTGCAAACGCTGTGCTCCGGTATCAGCTCCAACAAAGGCAACTGATGTTACGAAGAGCTAAACTTTGATCTCTAGTTGCGTACAGGAGCCAAGCTGGCGAAGTTCAACTAAAGGCAAGTTGTTAATGAAACTATCCATGACAAGGAGTCTTATACAACCCTCATTCTTCATGGACTCGGCCCTCCCTCGATCTCTCCTTCAACCTGTCCGACTGCTAGGGCATCCGGCTCCAGTCATGATCATGCAGCGACGGCAATCCCTTCGCACAACTGATCGGCATCTCTGATCGGCATCTGTGACATCCTCCCTCTTCTCCCCTTCACTGGTTCCGCCTCTGTCTGCTGCTTGCGGCAGTCCAAACACGAACTGACAATAGATAATGACTATTTCGGGGATTGCAATGTCTCCTTTTCTATGAGAGATATCTGGCATATTCGACCTTGTCACCTGCGCCTTGACATCCGTCAGAAACTATGATAAACAGGCTCGCTCCTGACACATATAATCTGCAAGACCTAAAGCTTGACCGTCCTGTTGAGTCGTCCCTATCCTATACGACTCCGCCACAATATTAGGCACAGCTACACCAGTGAGCAAAGTTGTCGCTGTAATACGCGATTCTCCCCCCTACCTATCAGCTTGTGTTGCTGAACAAGTCTCTGGATGTGTTCCTGCAAGGTGCGTATTTCCATCTCAGTTTTCTCAACCGTGGCAGGATAAAGCCGTTGTTTTCGCCATCTGTCGACGTCTGCAGCCTTTTTTTTGCAGCATTCGAGATTTCGTAGCCATGCTGTTGCAGAGCTTACATAGCGCTTTTCTGTTCTCGACCTCGTGTACAAGCTTTAGCCCGCAAGTTTCGCCTGTTCGATACTCTTTGTTGCATTGTTCGCGAAAGCCTCCCCATCTCCAATAGCCGCAAGTCCAAACGATTTGCTCAAAGAAACACATTCTCAAAATGTTTCACGAATGGTCTATGTGTGAATTGCAAGAGAAGCGCTTGGGAAAAAGATGCTGCGGATTGATTCCTGAGGGAACTGCAATAGACTAGTTGTGTATAGGGTAAATTGAGGCTGGTCTATGTCACGGAAATCCCCAGGTTACTTATAAGTTGGTCCTTTTCTCTATTAATAAACATATGATGAGTTCCAGCCCCGGTATAGTTTCCAGCATTGTTCAATACTGCTGCTCATCACACCCCTTCCGCTGCATAACTCGGCTTTTCTTCGCGCGGCACATTCAATCGGCCTCTATGGGACGAGGCTCCAGTTATCGTTAGCTTGCCTCACATGGGAGTGAATTGATCATGTGGGTACCAGGCTAGGCTCCGTTGTTAGTTATTTGCCCACTCCACTGTCGTCTTACTATGCTTTTTGGAAGTTTCGTTGCGTCCCTGGATGTTCTTCACTATTTCCTGCACTCTGCGCGCTCTCTCTTTTTCCCCCACAAATCCATACACGTGAAGAATCAATTACAGAAAAATAACGACTCATACGAATGAATTAGTCACCGAACCATATTTGTAGGGCTTCCGGACATAACTGTTCTACAAACGGCAAATCCCGAATGATAGCGCAGACGTAGTGGATCAGCGGCAAGGATGCCCAGCATCTAAGGCGTTTAGACGACAACAGGACAGCACAGGGGACCGCCAGAAGGGTTGCGATAAATGAATAACGGTGCCCGGCGCTAAAGATTGAGGTGCTGCGTGACGGGCGAGGCTTAGCCTTGCGTACTGAACTCAGCAATACTTACGACACCCCTGCTAAGCTAGGTTGACATGATGTAAAACACGTGAGCTTCTAGTTTACGCACAAGCAAAGCTTCCCCATGCTTGACGATTCTTCCATACTATTCGTCGTCAAGCGAGGTGTCTGGCGGCTGGCGGCTGTATGTTGCCATCTTCTCAGGACCACGTTTCCGAATGGAGATTGCCATTACGCCAAACCAAGCCCCGCCAACAGATCATCTTGCATGTACCTTTGAGGTAATTGTTGGTCCTACGTCCTTCAACCCCAGCGCTTTCTTTCGGGGCGTATGCCCGTATCGTGGACATGATCAATTCAGTACATCCTTGCGATTCTTGCGCTAGCGTAAGTACAACGCGAAGCCAAAAATGCGACCTTGCCGGTGTGGCCACGGCTGCTGCCTGAAGTAATCCCCAATCCCACAGCCGCCGCTGAGGCGCCTGGTACCTGATGATGGACTGACTGGGATGCCATCCGGGGTGTGGGACGATAACAGCAGCGGGTGTTGCGGAAAGACGATTTCTCACATAGAATGCCCACAAAGCAACTCCTTGATGTTAATCATGTACTCATGCCATGCCCTGAGCTCGCGAGTTCGAAATAAAGTGGGATTAATGGACTTACATAACGATTCTTAGCTCAGCACGTCATTTGCCTGAACGGGATTCCGCAAGGTTGTTTACAGATAAATTCCCACCCATCCGGTTTTGAGCACGGCATTTGTTTCACAATTCTCCACGGCGCATCGAATGCCGTTTGGTACACTGTTATGATGCTTTGCCTTGTCGCCCCCGGAAACCAACTCCATGGGGTTAGTGCCCAGAAATGATGTTCACCTGGCGCGCGTTTCCTTTCCTTACGCCGGCCGCGGACATTCGGTAGCATTCTCAGTGCGTGTGCCATTGCAGCTAGTTCGCCTGAATACAGCTTCTGTCGTTTCTCGGTCCCAGGGTGATGAAAAACGCTTCACTTCTTGCGTCCGCCCTGCCTTTTACCTTTATCCCAGTCACTTCTCCCACGCCGACCCGGTGGGATATTAGGCAAACAAC